ACACACACACACACACACACACACACACACACACACACACACACACACACACACACACACACACACACACACAGAGGACCATGTGCCTCTCGCCGTAGGCCTCTGTTGATGCTGAATGAGCTGCATGCTTACGTAGTTTTCCCTTCTTGCTGCCATTAACACCACCACACCACCACACATCAACACCACCACATATCATCGCCACATCGCCATTGCCACGATAGGAGCTGGCGTCTGACCGCCCGGGCGTGTGGGAGGCGTGCTATGAGCAGGCATTCTACCGCCGTGTGGAATCTCTCATCACAGACCACCTGCAACAAGGTGCCAGAACGTGATGCCACTCGTCTACCTTCATACACTGTTACCCGCGTGTGGATGTGTGCAGTGAGGGCGTTGAGGGTGTTGTTCATGTGACATCACCCGCTTCCTCAACGAGGAACCTTAACAATGTTGACGCTCACACCCACCCAACGCAACACTGACACAACACAACACTGACACAACACAACACAACACAACACTGACACAACACAATACAACGCAACACAACACACCACAACACAACACAACACAACACTGACACAACACAACACAACACAACACAACACAACACTGACACAACACACACTTACTCCATCACCCCACGCCCCACATGACCTGCAGCGCTTGGCTCTGCGCAGTCGGGCATCGCCACCGCCGCCGCTCGAAACCCGCTGGGGCAACCGGAACAGCATCTCGATGTGCTGGACGCGTCGTACGCGATCTTCAGGCAGCACAGCCTCGTGTCCCTGCTCGGTATTGCTCCAGCCGCGGCAATGAATGCAAACACAGCAGTGGGGACTGCTGCTGCTGCTGCTGCTGCGGTGCTGGAGGACGGTCACGCACATACGGACGAAGCGGCTACGGTAATGCACCCACATCAACTGTCCACATGCACGCGTGTGATTCTGTCTTGCAGTTGCTCTTCGTTGCATGCATGCATGCACTCGACCAACCACACAATCAGCGCACAAGCACGTGCCACACCGTCGGCACCCCAAGGGCTTATCCCAACATCGCCACCTCACGAATCATTCGTGACACACGCCACGAACCATGCGTGACGCCACCTTGCACGCCCTGCAGGGAAAGACGGCGTTTCAGGTGCACATGCAGCGTATCACCGGGGGTGCAAACACGTGGGTGCTGGACGCAACGCACGCCTTTGAGGCTCAACTGCAAACCCTGGCACGCCACGTGGCCGCGTACAATCAGACGGACGACCCAGCTGCCCCCGCCACCGCAGGCATCGCCCATCACACGTCATCATCATCAGGCAGCGGTGGCCACCGCACAGGGTCGACATCATCAGCATCGTCAACAGCAGCAGCAGCAACAGCAAAAGCAGTCGGGTATGAAGCGTTGAGGGCACGCGGTGACCGCCTCCCATTCAATCTTCTCGCAGACGCCGACAATGTGCGGCGCTTTGTACACACGCACACGCACGAAACCATCAGCGCTCTGTGCGGATCTCTGGATGCGCTCGCCATTCGCAGCGATGACACCGGTCAACAGGACAGGGTCAGAGTACTTGTGGTTGTGTGTCGCTTGGTTGGCTGGGTAGGCAATTCGTTTGTGAGTGCGTTCGTTCGTTGGTTAATTAGTTCGCTACTTACTCTGCTTCGTGAATGAGCTCATTCGTTCGTTTGTGTGTGTGTGTGTGTGTGTGTGTGTGTGTGTGTGTGTGTGTGTGTGTGTGTGCGTGCGTGCGTGCGTGCGTGCGTGCGTCACTTGCATCACAATCGTACTTGCCAATGCGCACCATCGTTCCAAACCCCCAAGCCCTTGTCAACCAAAATATCGACCTCACATGCCAACCCCATATGCGTCTGTTGGTTCACATGCAGACATTGAACGGTCGCTCCCAGTTCGTGGACGCAACTCGCGCTGTTGTTCTCGCCCGCATCGCACACACACTTGCACGATCGTGAGTTTCTTCCTCCTCCTGATGACAACCAACAACGCTCGTGGTCTTAAGGTTCAGGGCAGGAGGGCTCGTTGTCCTGCCTTTGCATCGTTTTTGCCTTCTTCGCGTGTGCTCTTCTCGTGCCGTTGCCCAAGCTGCTTGCGCCTGTACTGTCTGCCCATCACAACGCAACAAGGGACAAGGAAGGATGCGCGTGCGCCACCCTGACCACCAACAGGGCCATTCACCATACCCATGAGCCCATTGAATACGCTTCAACTCCAAATTCTTACACCTACAACAACACACACGCACGCGCACACCCAACGTCTCCGCTTTGCCCCCCCCCCCCCCAATTCTCCTCGTGCGTGCCACGGCCCTTCATCTTGACAGACCAGCGGTGTCGGAGCTGCTGCTCTGTCCTGTCACCAGCGACACATCCGCAGCGCGCGCTCGCCGCTTCAACAGATCTGATTACACACGCGCGAGACGCAAGGGCACACAGCAAGTATGTCGCGCCAGCTCACAGTGTTGAGTTGTTTGTTTGTTTGTTTGTTTGTTTGTTTGTTTGTTTGTTTGTTTGTTTGTTTGTTTGTTTGTTTGTTTGTTTGTTTGTTTGTTTGTTTGTTTGTTTGTTTGTTGTTCTCTTCTGTGTCTGTGTGTCCCTCATCCGCCCCAGCCCTCTCCCCGAAGTCCCTACCAGAAATCCTCACGAGCAACATCGTTGCCATGAACAGAACACGGAGTTCCACCGACATCTCGTTTCCTTGCAGCAGCGCCTGGACCGCATCGCGTGCCAGTTCCTTGACACGTGGTTGCAGTGGACCCTCGATGCACAGCTCGCTCAACTCAGGTGCGAACCTCAAATGCTTCTTCTTGGGGGCTGGATTGTTTTTATTTCACTCCACCCAGCGCTCTCTCGTATTTTGTTTCCTGTGCAATTTATCCTTGTGTGCGGTTTCCACCTCTCTTGCGTTTCATGTCTCTTGCCGCAGCAACTTCGATGTACTTTGCTTGCAAGCACTCACCACAACGTCACCCCGTGCCATCGTTGCAGGGCTGGACTGTTTGGGCTGGAGTGGAGCGACCTTGGGGTTGAGATGGCGGCGTGGCAGGAGCACGATGTCACGGAGCAGGCAGAGGACGGCCAGGCCATCAAGTCAACCTTCAGGCTGCCTTCTCAACCGTCAAAGGTCAGAAAGAGGGACACGGAAGATTGTGTGCATGTACATGTTTGTTTGCGAACATATACACCTAGCTGGGTTCATGAGTCACACACATATTCGATGTTCACACATACTTACTCTGTACTCAAACATGCGCCCACGCTTATACACACTCACTCACTCACTCACTCACTCACCCACTCACTCACTCACCCACACACACACACACACACACTCACTCACTCACTCACTCACTCACTCACCCACTCACTCACTCACTCACCCACTCACACACACTCACTCACTCACTCACTCACTCACTCACTCACTCACTCACTCACTCACTCACTCACTCACTCACTCACTCACTCACTCACTCACTCACTCACTCACTCACTCACTCACTCACTCACTCACTCACTCACACGGTCACGACCTCTGCGGCACACAAACACGCATCGTCGTGTGCCTGCAGGTGCTGCTGACGTGTCTCACGGGCACGTGTGCAGAGTTTGCGCGAACCGGCCTGTCCACGCTGCCGTCAGATGCACTCGTGGCCGCTGTCAATGCACTCTATGCACGGATTGTGCAGGTGTACATGGACTTGTTTGCATCGGCCAAGGGTGAAGAAGGAGCAGACGATGACAAGACACACCAGGAACAGCAAGGAGGAGCGAGCGGTACAGGTGACACACCTCACTCATCACCATCGTCGCCGTCACCATCACTGGCACCTCACGGCCTGGCGAACGCGAGTCAGAACGCATATATTCAGCTGCTGGTTGACCTGCGGTTTCTTGCGGACGTGTTTGCGTACTCACGCGACACAGCAGCCAACGACGCCAGCATTCGTGGTCACGACACCTTGATCCAGCGCTGCACGGACAACATTGACCCGTTTGACATGAACGTGTATGCACCCCACCTGCATCGCACGCGCGTATCCGCCTATCACCGCTGCGCAACACTCCTCGGGTACATCACACAGCTCAAGCCAATGCACGAGCAGGTCAGTTGTGGTGTGCGCGTGAATGTGCTTGTGGGTATGCGTGCTTGTGGGTATGCGTGTGTGTGTATGTATGTATGTATGTGTGTATGTATGTATGTATGTATGTATGTATGTATGTATGTATGTATGTATGTATGTATGTATGTATGTATGTATGTATGTATGTATGTATGTATGTATGTATGTATGTATGTATGTATGTATGCGTGTATGTATGCGTGTTTGGGTGTGTGCGATCATACCGGCTGTCGTTGTTCACCGCATGACAAAGCTCTTCTTTTCCCCCTGCCCTAGCCCCAATAGTGGGCAACTCACGACGCATTGTCACCATCTACTGCCGCTTGCATCACATTTCCAGGCCAGGCCCTCCAATTCGGGCTCCGATCGTGCAAATTTGCTGAGTCAGGCGCCCGTCATTCGCAGATTTGCACCCCTCCCCGTCGCCGCAAAGTGCGCCTTGTGTGTGTGTGTGTGTGTGTGTGTGTGTGTGTGTGTGTGTGTGTGTGTGTGTGTGTGTGTGTGTGTGTGTGTGTGTGTGTGTGTGTGTGTATCTGTATGTATCTGTATGTCTCTGTATGTGTATCTGTGTGCGTGCGCGTGTCTCTGTATGTGTATCTGTGTGCGTGCGCGTGTCTCTGTATGTGTCTCTGTCTATGTCTCTGCCTGTGTCTGTGTCTGCGTGTGTGTGTGTGTGTGTGTGTGTGTGTGTGTGTGTGTGTGTACGTGTCAGCCCGTCTTTCTGCCTGCCTCTGTGTCTGTCAGTCATGTCTCCCTGGCTGTCATGTCTGCGTGGCTGTGGGTCGGTCGCGGGACACTCGTGCCATGGTACCCAGTCGCCTCTCACACTGATGTTGGCTCCTCTGCTCCACAGACCATCGCTTGTCCGGCTGCCTGATGCCACGGGCACTCTTGCGCAATCGGATGTGCGAACGTCCCTGGCAAAGGTCGGTTGTCAAACCCCCTGGTGGCTTGCCCCCTCATGTTTGTTCGCGCTGTGCACTTTTCTTGCCCATCTGTCTGTTGTTGTGTTGATGTCATGTCGACTTTTATGTGCGGGTCATTCACCATTTGGCCTCCCCGAACTAAGCATGACATCGTCATCATCATTGTCGCTGTCGTCGTCGTTGTTCTCCAGACATTCATTGAAGCGTTTGCGGACGAAAGCGCCGACCAGAATGGAATGGACTCTACGGAGCATGCACCGCATCAGCAGACTGTCTCTTCACCCTCAACTCCGCAAACAACAGCCAGTACACAGAGCGGTGCTGTGCCTTCACCCCGTATCGTTCACATGAGCGTGTTTGATGAGCTTGCAGCCACACCCACCACGCAGAGCTAAGGCTTCGTAAACTGTGTGTCTGTGTGTGTTCGTGCGTACGTGCCGTCCATGTGCCTCTTTGAGATTGTTGGCGTTGGGCTCTGTACGCACAGTAAATCAGACCGTTTAATTGAGTGTTCTGACTTGTAGGAAGCTTGTGCCTTTCTGCTGGAAACAACAACAACAACAACAACAACAACAACAACAACAACAACAAGCACATGTGATGACATCACTGCGTGTTGCAATCGACGCTGTTGTCCTCGGCCGGTGCAGAGATCTTCATGCGCGTGATTTTCTGCTCCACCGTGGACTGCGGCACTGCTGCAAACACCAAGAGACAGGAAGCGCACGTCAGTCATGCGCAACGAAAGATGTGCAAATCTTCAACACGATGGCGTGCAAGCGTGCACAGAGGAACATACCCGCAGACCACACAAACACACAAGTACACAAACAAACTCGCACGTAGATCGTTCTCCACACACACACACACACACACACACGCACACACACACACACACACACACACACACACACACACACACGCACACACACACAGATCACTCACCAGGCACGCCAGTGTCGCATGCAATGCCACTGCTATCGGCTGCGTGGTGTTTCCGGTGGGAAGACGTGGGTGTAGAAGCAAAGCCGGAAACAGCCACGTCACCACCAAAGCTGCCACTCACGCTTCCAACGCTGCTGTTGTGCTTGTCGCTGCCATCATCAGCACCAAGGTCGCTTGCACGTGCCAGCGCACCACGGCGCATGTCTCGTGCGCGGCGATGAAGACGCAGGCTTGCATTCGCAGCGCTGCTACCGCTGTGAACGACTTGCGCAGGCGAAGAGGTGCTGATGGCGGAAATGTCCAAGCTGATGTCGCGCTGCTTGCCATCGTCCACGGGCGCGATGGGCGAAGAGAATGCAACACCCATTCGTGCCTTTGGCTTTGGTGTGGCTGCCGTGGGCCCTGTGTTCGAGGCATCCCCCAGCGGTTGGCGCGTGCTTTGTTGCTGTTGCTTCTGCTTTGCCCCGCTGTCCTTATCTTTGCTAGCCTGTTTGGCCTCTTCCTCCGCTTCCAGCTGCGCAGCTGCTGCTGCCTCAACCTTTGCCATCTCAACTGCGTTGGCCACGTACCATTGTGAAGATGTGTGTGCGAATGTTTAGAGTGAATGAGTACGTTTGTGTGTGTGTGTGTGTGTGAGAGAGAGAGAGAGAGAGCGGTTTGTGTGTGTGTGTGTGAGCGTGTGTTTGAGGGTGGCAATTACTCCGTCAGCACCTGCCCTTTTGCAGAGCAAACGTTTGCACGTGAAACAGACGGGTATCACCAGATGTGCTTCAACAACACGTTGGCGCGTACTTACGCATCATTCTGTGCTCCTCCAACTTCATGTCCTTCTCCATCATCTCCACAGTGAGCTGCTCGTTGCGACGTTCTGCTTCGTGCAACTGGCTCTCGTACTCCCGCACCTTTCGCGACTCGCTGACAATGTGCCGTGCGCGTAGTTTGTGGATGCGTGTGCGTTTGTGAGTGCGTGGCGCATGCACGCTGGTACTTGAACTTGAGGGTGAACCAAAGCAGCACAGCCAGCGCATCTGCCAATGGGTGGTGTGATTTGTTCACATTCTGACCTGATGCAAAGGAACGCCTTTGTCTGCACTTCATTCGTCAAGCGGCGAATCTGCGCTGTCTTCTCATCCAGTTCTGAATTGCCATCAGTAAACAAACATCAGTTCCAGCACCCCAAGTTGTCACCACAGAACGGCACTTGCATCCGCACACGCCAATGCACTCTAAAACGTGTACACACAAGCAAGCTCAGGCACGCATACATACAACTCAACGCTGACGCACAAAACCATGCATGCCCGTACCCGTTTGGAGGAACTGCACGTATGCGTTGTCTGAGTTGCCATCTGCGGCGGCGTGTTGGCTGCGAAGAAGGTGGCTGCTCTGTTTGTACACAAGAGGGAACGTCAAAAAACAAACGTGAGATTCAACCACAGCTTCGCGTGTGACAGGGGCCTCATCAAATGTTTTTTTTTTTTCGGCCAGACTTATCGCCCGCTCATCATCTTCGCCGCGTGAGATCCACAGCACTTCGCAGCATGTAACATTTCACCGCCGCCCCCTCCTCTTGTGCTCGTCTCTTCCCCCGTGTTACCTGGTCCAGTTGCTGCTGTAGCTTCTTGAGTTGCCTCTGTTGCGTATGCGACTCGCTGCGCGCCTGTGACAGCGCCTGCTCAAGACGCAGCAGCTTCGATTCGTCTGCCTTGCTGGATTGCAGCTGCGTGACGACACTCAGTCGCGCCTGCAGCTGCTTCCTCTGCTGCTCTGCCAGCTCGCACCTCTTTCGCACGCGCGACACTTGGCGCTGAACACAGATAAAGGCGGAGGGAATAGAATGTAGTGTTGCCATTGTGTGAGTAAGTAAGTGAGCGTTGGCAAGTGAGTGAGTGCGTGGAAAGAGAGAGCACGAGGGGATGTGTGGCTCAGATATTGAGAGACACACAGCACAACAGTGGATTGACCATCACAACAGGTACTGCCGCTACACACCACACTGTGAGGACAAGATACAATTAAACACAAAAACTGCACCACCTTCATTTGAGCGACGGCGTCTTCCAGTGCCTGACGCTTGTCCTCAACCTCTGTCATGATGAGCCGTGTTGAATGCAAGATGGTGGTGTGTGTATGTGAGCGTGCGTGTGTGTGTGTGTATGTGAGCGTGCGCGCATGTATGTGTGTGTGTGTGCGTGTGTCGTGACATGGCGCCAGCTATGCAAGGGGGCGGTGGGTAACACTCAAAAATGAATGGACACAGCAAGAGACACAACAGTCCCCACTTTTTCTCCCTTTCCCCGACCTGAGAACAAGTCCAGTCCCGCTCCCATTTCTCCGTTGGACGACTGGTAAGAGTCAAGCTTTGCTTGCACCATCTGCAACTCGGTACGGGCGCGTTCCGCATCGTCTCTTGCCGTCTTCAGCGCCTCAGATCTATGTATGTGTGTGTGTGTGTGTTGTGTTTTTGTGCATGTGTGTTGTGTTTTTGTGTTTGTGTGTGTGAGTGTGTGTGTGTGTGTGGTGTTTGTGTGTTGGCACGTGAAGAAGGCACATCATTGGCCGTCTTGATAACACATGAGAGGCAAACAAGAATGCACCCGCACTTGTACTGCACAACGCACTTGTCTTCGACGACGTTGCGCAGGTCCGCCACAAGCTCTTCGCTGGACGCGTAGCCTGACCATGTCAAGACAACGGTGAGCAAAATCCAAGCATCAGCACATGGTGAGCGAACAAGTGTGGCCGAGCGCTGGCAAAGACAGGCAAAGCGCAAGCAGTGCTGGAATCAACACTCACGCTGCTGGAGCTGGGAAAGCATGTTCTCGGATTCCGTCTTTTCCATTTGAAGTTTGCTCAGGATGCCCTGAAACGAAACAGCCGCACACAAGAAAGTGTGTGAGTGAGAGAGAGTGAGAGTGCAAGAAAGTGTGTGAGTGAGAGAGAGTGAGAGTGCGCGCGCGCACGCGCGCGTGTGTGTGTGTGTGTGTGTGCGTGTGTGTGAGTGAGTGTGTGTGTGTGTGTGTGTGTGTGTGTGTGTGTGTGTGTGTGTGTGTGTGTGTGTGTGTTCGTCTTACGCGGAGGCGGGCGATTTCGGCTTGTGCATTTGCAAACTCTTCATCCATCGTATCGTTTTTGAAAGAGCATTGCACTTGCTCCTGAGCGAGGCAAATTGCAACCAGTACGTATGAGTGAATGCAGTGACGTGTGGTTGAAGCGCGCCAATTGCTTGCATCTCTCAATCTTTCAATATCCGAACGAGAAAACGCAACACTCAATGACACGACGCACTCACACACACACACACACATACACGTACACACACATACGCGTACACCCTCACACACATACATATACATGCGCAAATACACATGCACACCGCCCGCACGCCTTACCTCCAGCTCCTGGATGCGTGCTTCCTGCTGCTTGATTTTTGCTTCGAGGACGCGAGCGCGGTCATCGGCATCTGTCTCCGCGTTCCGCAGACGCGCAATCTCATCTTTCAGTTCTTTTCGCTCCTTGGCCGCTGCCTCTGCTTTCTTGAGCCACGAATCGCACTGAAGAACAAAAACGCAAAGGGTGAGCAGCGGTGGCATGCAGACAGCACATGTGCGAGCCGCGTCACAACTTACTTGGGATTACTGTTTGCAGTGAGCAATCGCCACAAACACACCATGGTGACCTCAACACAAAAGGTGGATGTACCTCTCGACGAATGCGCTCGTTCTCTGCCTCAAGGTCTGTCACGTATTCCTGCTCGGCAGCGTGCTGCTTTGCCTGGCCTTTGAGGCGGTGCAGCTCCTCTTCAAGAGATTGGACGAGCTCATCCTTCTCATGCACCATGGCCTCATGCTGCTCTGCCAGCGTCTTGTTCTCGTTCAACAGTTTCTGCCATGTGTGAGTGGGTGTGAGAACACGTGTGTTTGACGGGATACAGGGTACATGTGGGAACAAGAGTACGCTCATATGCTGTCAAGCATTGCGAGTCGATGCCCGTGGGTGAGTTGGGGGTTGGAGTGTGAACCAGCAAGGAGTGGCTGTGACGGCGCTGTAAATTGCAAGTGCTCTAAACCACGTACCACGCCATAGCTTGCAGCAAGTGTAAGCTTCTCCTCCTTTGCCTTGAGCTGCGAGTGCGCATGTTGCAGCTCCTAAGACGGCATTCATGTCATGTGTGTGTGTGCGTGTGCGTGCGTGCGTGTGTGTGTTGTAGTTGGTTGCAGGTGCAGAGACAGCTATTGAGAAGAAAAGGAGCAATCACACACACACACACACATATCACACAGACATCACACACGCACACACACATATCACACACGCACACGCACACACACCACACAGACATCACACACGCGCACGCACACCCATCGCCGCTGACCTCGCGCAGCCGCTCAATCTCCACTTGTTCCGCTGTGACGTCCATCTTCGCATTCAAAATTTTCGCGGCAGCTCAACCTCTTTGACCGACATCAAATAAAGTAGCGAGTTCAGTGCTGCTGACAACACAAGAAAGGCCACCACGCTGCACAACAACCACCACACGTCAACCACCATCATCATTCGCCACGACTTGATCTTGGAGCCGCAACAGCCAGCAACCAGCACCCGCATCTACCATCATCATGGAGTCCCCTTTGCGTGTGGGTATCATGAGCACCGCCTTTATTGGCAAGAAGACCATTCAGGCCATTGGAAAAGCCGCCGGCGCCGAAGTGGTCGGCGTCGCCTCCCGCTCGCTGGAAAAGGCAGAGGCGTTTGCGAAAGAACAAGGTACGCCCAGTGAGGGCAGTGCATGTGATCATCTCTTCATTTCACGCAAGGGGTGTTGTCGTCGTCGTATCACAGGCGGCGACATGTATGAACAAGCGCTGTTGAAGCAGCTGTCGACGATAATGTGCCGTGATGTGCCGTGACACCTTCCTTTGTCGCGGTCATGTCGGACTTGCTGTGTCTGTGTGTCTGTGTGCGTGTGCGTGTCTGTGTGTCTATGTGCGTGTGCATCTATGTCTATCTGTGTCTGTGTCTGTGTCTGTGAGTGCACTTTGTGGTGATGCTCATGATTTTGGTGATGTGCTTCGCATGGATGTCCAGGCGTGAGCAAGGCGTATGGCACGTATGAAGAGATGCTCGCTGATGCGAACGTGCAGGCAGTGTACATCCCGCTGCCAACAGCGTTGCGGGCTGAGTGGGTGATCAAGGCCGCCAAAGCAGGCAAGCACATTCTGTGCGAGAAGCCGGCCGCAACGAGGTTATTAACTATGTTTGTCATACATCGTGTGTGGATGTGGTGAAAGCTGCTTGGGCTGTATATGTGTGCGTGCGTATATGTATGGTGTGACCATGTGCTCTGACTCAAGTGATGCACCTTGCTGAAGAGCCTCAACCAAATTCATCCACCATCTCAACTTGCAGCCTGGCCGAGCTGAAGGAGATGATCAAGGCATGCGAGGACAACCAAGTCTTGTGGATGGACGGCGTGAGTGCTTCGTGTGCGAGAGAGAGAGAGAGAGCGTGTGTGTGTGTGTGTGTGTGTGCGTGTGGAGTGATCGCGCCTGTCGCACACAACCAAACACCTGTGCTCTGGTGTGTCTGTGTCTGTGTGTGTATGTGTATGTGTATGTGTATGTGTGTCTTGTGTGCCTGTGTCTGTGTGCCTGTGTCTGTGTCTGTGTCTGGCTGTGTCTGTGTGCCTGTCGATGTGTCTGTCGACCTTGCATGCTCTACACACCACGCCCCAGCTCTCCCTCTCCCTCTCTCACACAACACGAACACGCGCAATGGCACAGGTCATGTTCATGCATCACGACCGCGTGCAGCGTGTGCAGGAGCAAGTGGCCAAGGTTGGACCCGCCACATTCGTCAACTCTGGCTTCTCCTTCTCCGGCAGCGACGACTTCCTGTCCAACGATATCCGCATGTCCCCGGACCTGGAGCCCTTTAGCGCGCTCGGCGACCTCGGCTGGTACAACATCCGTGCCACCATGATGGCATATGGCTGGGACATCCCCGCACGCGTCTCTGTGCACTCGCACCGCAACGTCGACGGCAAGAACCTGCCGAGCGAGGTCACCGCGACGATGGTGTACGGCGACGAGCGACGCGCCACCTTCCACAGCAGCTTCCACCACGCATTCCGGCAGACGCTTGACATCAGCGGGCCCAACGGCCAGATTGTGCTGGACGACTTTGTGCTTGAGCGCACGCCTGAGGAGGTGCAATTCTCCGTCATCACGGACTCGGGCCCCAACTCCGACCACCAGACGGTGTCTGACACCACCACCATCGTCACGGTCAAGGGCTGCTGCCAGGAGCAGTGCATGTGGGAGCGCTTTGCTCGGCTCGTTGCCAAGGGCAAGGAGGCCTCTGATGCGTCCACCAACCCGCTGGAGACGTGGCAGTTCTGGAAGGATGTGTCTCTCAAGACACAGGCTGTCCTCGACGCATGTGCTGCGTCCGCCAAGCAGGATGGCGCGTTTGTTGCCGTCGCCCTCTAGCTTGCTTGTCGGCACGACGGGCTTTGCTCGCCTCCTGCTTCCCCGCTGTTTGTGCTACAGCTACAGCTGCTGCTGCTGCTGCTGCTGCTGCTGACACAATGTGACTCAAAACACCCGTGTGTGTGTGTGTGTGTGTGTGTGTGTGTGTGTGTGTGTGTGTGTGTGTGTGTGTGTGTGTGTGTGTGTGTGTGGCATGTACGTTTTGCTCCATGTAGCATTGTGCAGCCGCTTGGCTGCCTTGAATGTTGAGTTCGTATCAACTTAAGTTTGGTTCTTAGAAGAGTCACTGTAACACAAGCAGGGGCAAACCCAATCGGACAAACGAACGAACATGGGCCGGCAAACACACGTGTGGTCAGCAAAACACAATCCATGCAAGGCCACTCAACTCAAACAGGATGGTGCCTTGAAAACACAGAGAAAGAGGGGTACATGGACGGAGAACACGACAGATAACACACACACACACACACACAACAAACACACACAGCGAACACACACACACAACAAACACACAGCGAACACACATGCACACACATGCACATGCACATGCACACAACAAACACACACAGCGAACACACATGCACACACATGCACACAAAACAAACACACAAAGCGAGCACAACACATGATCAGCAGCGATCACATGCAGCCGGTACAGCCGTGCACGGCTCATGGTCATCTCCTGAACCGACTGGGCCCGGTGTAGTCAAACATAAAGGACAGAGAGACCACGAATTCCGCGTCAACGCCTTCAACAAAGTGCCACATGTCACGTGGGATGAAAAGCACGTCGCCTGGGCAAACGATGGTGGAGAAACGTGGGAGCTCACAGAACCCGGGACTCTGCTCCTCAATTTCCCGTGTCGGCGCCGTCAGATCAAGTGTGGACGTATTGCGGCGGCGAGGGTCCAGCGATGGCAGCAAGCGCGGCTCTCGGCGCGACGCATCCACAAGAACAATCCGCTTCGTACCACGAACTTGGCAGAAGAGGTTATGGGACGGATCACGATGCAGGGGCGTCACAACGCTGCTGGGCCCGATCCAAATCAGCTTCTGGGTCAAGGATGTCGGGTCGAGATGAAGGGGAAGCCGGAAGTCTTCACACAGCTCAGGAAACAGGGAATCAACATCTTGTTGCGCCAGATACAGTGGTGCATCATCCGACGCAGCGAGCGGTGATGGCGAAGACGCGGGAAATTGCGCACTCTGCTGCTCAGATTCAATCACGTAGCTCACAAAATCCTTGAGGCGCGCAGACTTCATGGAGAAGCCGCTGTCCGTGTACACGCCAGCTTCCAGTGCAACATCGCGATCCTGCAGCTGCAACCACCGCTCATGCCCCTGCCAGGTCTTGGGATGAGTCGGGTCCACGCACGGCCAGCGCTGCACAGCGCCGCGTAAGAGCAGCGGCGAAGCCGCGTGGTGCTTCACAATGGCCCTCAGCCACCCATGATAGTCTTCCCAGCCCTTTTCTGGTGCAGTCGCTGCTGGGGCTTTGTCTCCTCGCGCATGCTCGAGCTCTTGCTGCATCGCCGAGCGCATCGTGTCAAGCAATCGCTCATCCATCCCATTGATGTGCGGCCTTGGGTCGCTGCTGTGGCTGCAATGCGCACCATTGTCTCCGCATGGGAAGCATATGGTGGGAACCGGGAGCGCGTGATGCCATATGCGCTCCCATTGTCGAACAACCCGCCCACACGCAAGCCGAACCCCTGGAGCCGCCGTCGCCATGTTCGGATGTCATGAACAAGTCAATGAATGGTTGTTGCTTCTTGAGGAGGCTGTTGTTGTGTTTGTTGCTGTCCACCACCAGTCAAATTGCGCAATCGGCTGAATTCAGTTTGCTCGGCTGTGGCGCCAAATTCAAACGCGCCACCTGTTCTCGTGCCTGCTCTTGTTGGTTCTTTGGTTGGCTCTGGCTGGTTGGGGCACGCAGCCACGCAGCACAATAGCACGACAACAAGAACAGCACATAAGCATGCAGGATACAAGAGACGAGAAGACATGAGAGGTGTTCAGTTCGTGTTGTCTTGGCGCCATTTTCGTCTGCTCTCTGACGGCCTCAAAACAGGGCACACAAAAGAGCACCTCAGCACACGGGAGCGCACAACAGAACACTGCACGCACTGCACGCAGCGCACTAGAGCACAGCAGAGAACAACACAACACAGCACAGCAGAGAACAACACAACACAGCACAGCACAGCACAGCATAGCATAGCACAACACCACAGCGCCACCGCACTGAGCACAGACTTGCAGTGTTGTTTTGGCGCCAGCCGCAGCATCTTGAGTCTGTCTATGTACATGGCAAAGCAAGCACAGCACCGGATCGTGTCGATACTCGAGTACTCTGCACTTGTTTCCACTGTTCACACGCGCTCTTCCCCACAATGGCAGACCCTCCTTGTTGACTGGCCCTTGTCGATGAAGAAACGGACGGGACGCGCGACCCGAATGGAGCCGAAAAGAGGAGCCACTGGCTGGACCAACAGATCTTCGACCTCTTCCCCTGCATGATGAGGCGACGGCAATATCTGCTCAGCCCAAACTTCTCTGCCGCTTCCACACAACGGACGAACGTCAGGACGCGCAATGGACGAGAGCTCGCATGTGATTGCCTGATTTCGCTTCACATCAGTCAGCCCCTTTGCTTCCCTCGTGCAACTGAATGAAGGCAAGTTTCCAGTCACCCTGACCACGCCTGCCGCCGCTCGATCCAGCACGCTCACAGCAGTGACACAGCAGTTGACACGACATCCCCCTCCATCCTCGTCATCAACACATCACACACACACACACATCACACACACACGCGCGCGCGCATGTGCAGATTCAGAGTTGCCAGAATACTGGGAGTGCCAACGGAGCAGAAGAACGTGTACTGGTGTTGTGCATGACACAGGAACGGCAAGCAACCAAGCAACCAAGAAGAAAGCAGTCGACTCGGATCAGGAAGCACAGACCAAGCAGCGGCAGAGCACGCACAACGCACAGCTGACAACAGTGATTGAGCAAAGATACGCATACGACACACGACACACACACACACACACACAGATGCATGTGGGCGAGCAGCAACGCCAGAAGGATAACGCGGGAAACTCGTGGCACCGGAGATGGACGTGCAGCACGCTCAAGCCGCAGGAACCACACAGCAAAGGAAGACAGCAAGGTAAGCGCGTATGGTCTGTGGGCGTGGTGGGTCGATGCGTGGAGGCACGAAAGCACTGGCAACACGTGGCCTTGAGGCAAGGCCAGAAGAAGGCTGATCGCCACCCTGCCAAGACAACAGCAGCGACAACAGCGACAACAGCAAAGGAGGCAAGGCGCAAGCACCGTGAGCTTGCGACAAACACGACGCCAGCAAGCGTCGCACAAATGGGCATCCGAGAACACCCAACAACACGAGCACCACATATGCACACACACACACTCACGCTCATGCTTATACACAACACTCACACACATACACACACTCACACTCACACGCACACACAACAGGGTCACCACCTACCACGTTGCGTCTGGCATTCGACAGACCATTCCGCGCCACTGCCAACAGAACAGCAAAGGCAAAACACACAACCAGTGGCACTGGCATGTGAGCAATACACCACAGCTTTCATCGCAAAGCTCCCAGCGGACAAAGCATGACCACCACCGCCGCGCACAGCAAGCAGCGACGCCCCGCCCCCCGTCTCCCCGCACAAAAATAACAAAATAATACACACAAAGCAAAAAGATGTGGTAGATCAAAAAGAACGATCTAAGCTTCGCCAATGCGTACTTCCACGCCAAATATTTTCAGCAGGCGAAGCAATCACCAACACAAACGCACACAGCACAACAGCAGCGCACACCACACAACGCAGCACAGTCAAGGCAACTCACTTTGCTTCACGCCACCCAACCAACTCCAACGCTACCACTCAACGCCACCCAATACACACACCTCTGTACGTC